ATCAAAAGAAGAGTTTCCGACTGAACAGCAGTAGAGGTTTATTTGTTTATATATTGATTATTTTCCATTCTCGTCTGCTGCACCTCAGTAGTATTAATAATAATAATAATATGTCAACTGTGTGTTTATTTTCATAAATCATAAATGCAAATTCAAAAATTCAAATATGCAACTGTCTTTTTCTCTGTCGCCAGCTAACCTCACGGGTCATGCTGAGAGAGTTGGCATGGAGAACTTTGAGCTGCTTAAAGTCTTGGGCACAGGAGGTAGGTGTCTAAATAAGGTCTGATGTTAGAGTACTGTTAACAACAATGAAATATTCTATATTTCATATGTTGTCAAAATGTAGGATAACTTTCCTGGCCATATCATCTGCCATCATTAACTCTCTGAAGAAACACCTTTAAGTCACTGTCATAAATATCATAAATATTATATGATATATAACAAAATACATGCAACTTTATCTTAATCTTATTTAAAAGTATAGCATATAAAAATGGGCTTCCAAGCTGTACATAGTAGGTTTTAGCCATTTTTGGTGCTAATATATAGTGGTTGAATGTCCCTCCCATTACCATACATTATAGTTATTGTAATGGGTATTGGGTTAAAGTGATGGGTATTTTCATATATTTGAACGCATGTGTCAGGGGGGAAACAAAGTCTTTTCTAATATGGGATACAAATGTTTTAAATATGATTCATATTCATCTGCAGCAAATTAGAGGAGAGGGATGTTTACTTTTTATATCCTGACACATTGAAGCCAGTCTGACTCAGACGTATGACTGGAAAGTATTGGTCAGTGTCTGGAGTCTTGCTGTCTGTTATACAACTTTTGAATTTAAAAAAAATTTTTTCCCTTTCTTTCAGCGTACGGAAAAGTGTTCCTGGTCAGAAAGAACAGCGGCCATGACGCAGGCCAGCTTTATGCTATGAAGGTAAGATCATTACATTTAAATAAAAGGTCCTCACGGTCACTTTCATTGTTTATTTTTTTTCATGTTCTTGAAACATCAGTGTAAGTTTAGGATATTCTTTTTTTTTTAAATAATCTTAGGTGTTAAAGAAAGCAGCTATTGTACAAAAGGCAAAAACAACAGAACACACACGCACAGAGAGGCAGGTGCTGGAGCACATCCGCCAGTCTCCCTTCCTGGTCACACTCCACTATGCCTTCCAGACGCAGAGCAAACTGCATCTTATTCTGGGTGAGCTGAACATTTCGTCAGAGTCAAAGGAATTTTTCTCGTCTCGTCTGACTTGAAACACTGAACAAACGCTCTCTGTATGTTTCTGTCTATTGCTGTGTGTCGGGACTGTATATGTTTGTGTTTTTTTTTTTTGTTTTTTGTTTGTTTTAAGTCTATTCAAGCTCCCCTGTTTATTTGTGTGTTTGTGTGTGAGAGCAGACTACGTGAGCGGAGGGGAGATGTTCACACATTTGTACCAGCGTGATCATTTTCCCGAGGAGGCAGTGCGGATTTATATTGGGGAAATAATCCTAGCTTTGGAGCACCTGCATAAGGTGGGCGTTACCTCTTTCATATTTCGTCTGTTACTGCAACTTGGCAGTGATTACATTTCTCCATGTTCTCCATGAAGTTTTTTATGGCTGCAAGCAGATGCCAAATTCCACATATAAATTTAACAAAGAGCAGGATTGTTTAGAAGGTGGGTCACCGGCGCCCCTTGACCTTGTGAATCTTTGAAAATGACCTGGGTACAATTTCTATAACGGAGCCAAAATGAAATTGTCTTTTACTTTTTGTATTACCTAGACGTAATGTCAATATATATATATATTCTCAGTAATTTTGCCTTCACAAACAAATTTACAAACAGGAATAATTGGGCACAATCAACAATTTGGAAAGAAAAAAAAAAGATTTAAAAAAATTACCTTTAGATAAATTCAAATTGAATATATAAAAACAGCAAAGATGATGTAGTTTGGATGAATTACAAAACAAATATGATCGGATATTTAGAAGACTTTAACAACTAGAAAACTGATTGTAATTCTAGAAGAAATATACAAGGGTTCCTTGATTTACATACGGAATTCTGTTCCTACTTCACAACCTTGTGTGTGAGAGTAAGGAGATGCTTTTGCATCAAAAATCCAATGTTTCTGAGTTACTGTTTGTTGACAACAGATTAGATCAGGGTCTCATATTGACAGTATGTCATTCTCATTCGCCTACTGCTCACACGCATACAGCTTGGGATCGTTTACCGAGACATTAAGTTGGAAAACATTCTCCTGGACAGTGAAGGCCATGTGGTATTGACAGATTTTGGACTCAGCAAAGAGTTTCTGGAAGAAGAGGTATGTGGTTACCATACTTGTTTACTATGCACATACGTGCATAGTAAACATGATACGTTTGTATTCCGAACTGTTATGTCACAACATAGTTTTTTTTGTTTTTTGGGACATTAAATACATTTGAATCCTCTCTTCTGAATACAGAAGGAAAGAACATACTCGTTCTGCGGCACCATTGAGTACATGGCGCCTGAAATCATCAGGGGAAAGACTGGCCATGGCAAGGTAGATATATGAGATATGAGATAAAAAAAAAAAGTCACTTACTGTGACGCATGTCCAATTTATTTGCTACGGTGACCTTGAAGTTACTTTACTTTAATTTTTATTTTATTTAATTTTTTTATACATGTGACAACAAAAACGAAATGCTATTTAAATACTTCAATACGTCTGCTCATTTGTGCGTATTTCCTCTTCTTTTTTGTTTTCATTTCTTTGTCCTGTTTCGGCAGTCAGTGGATTGGTGGAGCCTCGGCATCCTGATGTTTGAGCTGCTGACGGGTGCATCTCCGTTCACCTTGGAAGGAGAGAGGAACTCACAGAGTGAGGTGTCAAAGTCAGTGCTGCAGATTATTTGCTCTCTTTCAGCTATATGTGCCTAAATGAGGGATGTCCGTTAATATTGGCCGACCGATATTATCTGCCCGATATTTGCATAATGATGTAATGTCTGTAAGAATCATTATTGGTTTTTCCTCTGATAATGAATACTCGATAACATAATGCCTGTGTTGTGCCAAATGATGTATGCCTCAAAAAAATAGTTTTGGGATAAAAAACAACTGTATGTGAAAGCCAAAGCCACTAGATGGCAGCATTGCAGCACATGTTATTAATCGATTTGAATAATCAGGGGATTGTATGCAGAATGCTGCACGTTAAAACAACTTATATATATGTATTTGTTTTGTGTGTTTCTTTACTGGAAAATTTAGACGCATTTTGCGTTGTGATCCGCCGTTCCCCTCTATGATTGGAACGACTGCTCAGGATCTCCTGAAAAAGCTATTAGTCAAAGATCCACACAGGAGACTCGGCTCTGGACCCAGGGGCGCTGAAGACATCAAAGCACATCCTTTCTTTAAGGTTGATCCCGAGCGTTCATTTCCTCTCTTTCCTCTCATTGTTACTTTAATTTCATTCACTTGTATGACTGTGTGTTTTTGGACAGGGATTAAACTGGACCGAATTGGCAGAGAAGAAAGTCCCAAGTCCGTTCAAACCAGAGCTGAAGAACGAACTGGATGTGGGAAACTTTGCCGAGGAGTTTACCGGGATGGACCCTGTCTACTCTCCAGCCAGCACACCACCAAGCACCGATCGTCTTTTTAAGGTCGGCCCTGGTAGCCATTTAGGAAAAAAAAAATGGCCGTGTGTTTGCCGTTACGATTAACAAAAAACACCTGAAAAGACTTTTCACACATTATTTTTGACATTCCAGGGATACTCGTTTATCGCTCCTTCCATTCTGTTCAATAAGAACGTGGTCATGGGAGACTTCGTAGAAGCTCAGATTAGTCCTGATCGACCAGCTTCTGCTTCAGTCCAGCGCAGTGCAATGTTACAGGTATGGATCCTTGGTATTTATATGTTGGGAGACAGAACTAGCCCAGTAAAACTATTTAGAACGACCCTTGGGGACATAAAACCCCAGCACCGAAAGGAAAGAAACTTATCATAGAAATGAAGTTAAACCAAAATATTTTTTTTTTCTGTTTTTTTTTGGGCATTGCAAGTGGCCTATAAAAAGGCCTCTACTGTGGATTTTCCCCCTATCTTTCACAAACCATGTGAAATCCAAGCCAAGCTTATACTAAAGTGAAGGCACGTTGGATTTTTATAGCGCCTATAATTTCGTATATATGATAGTTTAGGTTTAAGAGCTGAGCTATTTAAGAAAAAGCAACCCTTCTACATTATAGTTTTTTTATTATTATTATTATTATTACCTGTAACAAAATATCTAAATGACAATACTGCTTAGTTGTTTTATGAAAGCCTAGCAAAACTAAAAAAACAGTATAACACAGTGAAATAATAACAAGATTATTTTTATTATTTTTTTTTTTTTTTGACAGTATAACACAGTGAAATAATGACAAGATTATTATGTTTATTTATTTTATTTGTTTTTAGGAATCCCAGTTTTTTCACCACTACGACCTGTGTCTTCAAGGACCACCCCTAGGGGAGGGGAGTTTTTCTGTGTGCAGGAAATGCAGACACAAGCAGAGTGGCCACGAGTATGCAGTGAAGATTGTAAGCCGCAGGTGGGTGGATGTGTGAAGCGCCATGCAGTTACCGGCTGTGGTCCGTTATGAATTCAAGGTTTAAATACGAGGTTTGGTCAAAAGTTCTGACACAAGAGAAATATAGGTCTGTTCGTCAAGGCCTTTTTTTCAAATTTGACAGAGCCCTATTGTGTTCCAAAGTGCGTCAGGAAGCTTGCTTATAAAGATCTATATATTTATATTTGATTACATCTATATTATTTTCAGATCAAACATTTGCAATCTAGAAAAGCAAAATGCAACGAACCACAACCAAAACAAATACGCTGTCGACGCTGTGATAGCGATCGTACGTGGGTTTTGCCGTGCACCCTGAACCCTTCTTACAAGGATGTTCAGTTTTTACTCAA